AAATTTACCCGCTAAAAAGGCTTAAATTGACCAAAAAACGTTCCAAAGATGGTCGAAAATTTTAAATGAGCACACCAGGTTAGACTGCGCGAAACATAAATTAATATCACTGACGTTTGCATGCTCGATCATGAAATTTTCCGTCCACTAATTTCACACAATTGATTTTTATTTGATCAATTCGGCTATAATTCCAGCAACTTTATTCCAACTGATAAATTGGATATTATGCATGATAAAATGTGTGATATGCTATGCAGACGATGCAAAACGAAAAACATAATCTCAGGGTCAAAAATTAGGGTATGACATTTGCTGAACAAAGTTCTGAAGACTTGAGTTTCTGAAGATTAAATGCTGAAGGCTCAGAAGACAAAGTTATGCTGAACAACGTTCTGAAGACTCTGAAGACTTAAGCTACTAAAGACCAAGGGTTCTAAAGAATGAGCGCTTAAGACTCTGAAGACAAGGTTCTGGTGAACAAGTTTTGAAGACTCAAGACTTTGAAGACCCAGTGATCAACTCTTCTACTCATGCTTCAATCATCTCTATTCAGAAGCCTCTGATGTACAGAAGATAAGATCAAACGTTTATGAGGGAAATAGTATATAGTACGTATCAAAATGTTATATTCCACTATCATTCCACTATCATTACCATTTCTTGTTATATTCCACGAAAGGGCGAACATTTCTCAAAGTAAACAAAATGTTGTATTTTTTCTCAAACTCCATAACATACTTTGAGTTATATTTTTGTTGAATTTGAGAAAACACGTAAAATCAGAGTGAATAAATAAATATCATTAAAAATGCCACGAAAGGGCGAACATTTCTCAAAGTCAACAAAACACGTCACTGCTCCGTAACATACGGGTTTTCTCAAAGTACATCAAAACATCATAAAGAGCAGAACTCAAAATATAACTCAACGTTTTTCTCATAAGGGAAAGTTAGCAAAATAACTCAACGGTATATAATAAACTCAAGGAACCCAACCCGATGTTACATATCAGAGCAAGACCCTTTAGGCTGACCAAAAGACTAAAATACTCAAAAACTTCAAAAGTACTCCTCAACAGCGTCCACAGCTAAACTGCATCATCTGCACGTTACCCACGTGGAGGTAACATTCAAACAGGCAGGGTGAGTAAAACAATTCATAATAATCAATGTATAACAATTAATTCATAAACGGCGTCATATTTATATTCAACACATTGATATTCCCCAAATATGCTCAAAGGCCACAACGTCATAATTTATACAAAAAGACTCATAAATGCAATGCGACACTACTCAATGCATGTGGTACCAATCATCACAGCTCGATGGACACTAGGCCATCAACCCTCCATAGATCCCCATCAATAGGATCGGAGCACGTCACAACACTTCACATCCACACAGTGGGATTAAAGTCATAATAATCGAGGTCCTGAACCGAAGTCTGGATGCAAATGAATGTATGATGCACACGTCACAATAATAATCCTCGTAATACAGCATAAGGTGCATCATCATTCATCATATTATCACATAATTCATCATTCATCATGTTATCACATAGTTCATCATTCCTCATATTATTGCATCATATTAATTCAATCAATACATCATAGAAATCATCTTAACATCATGTATATCTCACGCAAAACCCACTGTCATAATCACAGCAACCCATCACAGAAATCACATAATCAAAACATCAAGACATCATTGAACCAGAACATGATTCGTTACTAAAACATATACACAATTGACTTCTCAAACATAATTAGATATAAAAATATTGGGAAAACAATTCCATTATCTATCCTATGTTATAGCTCTGTTCATTAGCTTTCCAACACTTCGAACAGAGGTCAAAACGGACTTACGGATCCAAAGTTACGTCCAAAACAATTTCGACCGAAAACATGAACAGTCGTGACGGACAGAAAGACGATGTTACGCTCTGGAACTGATTTTTACTCAATTATTCTTACGAATAACTCACTCAACGTACCCAAAATATCACTAAAACATTCCTAAGGTTATACGGCAATAACAATACAACTTCTATGTCTTATTAGACTCATCTAGCAACATTTGCAACGCTTAAAACACTATTTCCTGCAATTACTCTGAGTACTTCAGAGTTACTCACATATGAAAATTCCTATTCCTACAGGGTCAAACATATCACAATCCAAGGTTTTGGCCACGAAGGCAAAAATCATTATTTCTCATCTCTACACTCAAAGGGTCAAGAATACTAACCTCCAGGGTCTACCGTCAATTTTCTTACAATTGCTCCGAAGGCATCGTAATTTCAAATATCAAATATTCTATCCCATATGGGCAGACATATAACAATCTAAGGTTTTGGCCACAAAGACCTAAGGTTTCCTTTCTCATATCAATATTCAGTGATACATACTATTAGCCATACTCTCAGAGTCTTATCATTATTTCCCCTAATTTTCTCAATTCAACCCAAAATACCTTAAATCATAGACTAACCATAAACACATCTAAAGGCATACATAAAAAACTATGAAAAACAATACTCCCCATACCTTAGTCGAATCTGCAGCTTTTCACGATCACTTGGGATTTCTGCTTCCGACCTTTCTTCAGAGCTCTGGCCACAATTCCACGGTTAACACAAAATGAATTTCCTTTTCCTTCCAGAATTCTATTTTGTTAAATCTCACAATTTGATCTTTTCCCATAATATCCTCACTAACTCCTACAATCGCCCAAATTGCCCTTATTTCCCTTATTTCAATTTAATTAATAATAATACTAATAAATTAATATTATATGCTATTAATTAAATAAATACCCAAAAATGCACATTTTCTTAATAATTCACCAACCACCCGAAAATCACCAAAAACAAATATTCTTAATTAAATAATTAATTAAAATACTCCAATTAAATTTAGGGTGTTACACAGTGTAATCAGTTGATTATAGTGGATTAAGTCCTTGTGTATAAGGTGAAATCATCTTGGCGGGTGGACTGGATTAGCTTGATAGTTTTCAAGTGAACCAGGATATATCGTGTGTCTTTCTCTCTTGTTAGTTTATTTGTGATCTTTGTTTGAGTTTCACAAAAAGCTTTCATTTTTTAAAACCCAATTCAAACCCTCATTTCTTGTGTTTTCTCACACCTTCAGGGTTCTGTTCTGGATTGAGCCAGAGGCTGCCCCACCGTCGGGCATGACCCAACCCAGCTCCTCGTTGGGGATGGCCAAATGAAGGTCCAGTTCATCATCTCACATGGGAAGCTCTAACGCGTCTCCTCCACGGTCTTCGCGTGCTCCCCACGCGGGGACACGCCATCAGCCAGCTACCCGCGTCCGAGGAAACAAATCCTCCACCTTACGAAGTTCACGGGGTAGTTCGACCAGGATGAAGACCACGTGTTGGTATTTCCTTCGCCACGTAGATCCTGATATTTATTTGTATTGGGCGTAATGATCCAACTTAGTGCTGATAATCGTTGGCCCAGCGCTGGGGGCACATTATAAATACCCTATTTCACTAGAGGGTCGGGTATTCTAACTTTCTACGCTTTTCTGTACTTGCTTTCTCTCTCCCGTTGAAACTTACTTTAGTAACGAAGTGTGCCTTGCAAGTACACCCGCCTCCTCTTCTCCGTCACCAGCGAACTAGGAGCTCACGACGCGTTGCTGGCTGCTGATCTCTTTCTGATCCGGTAAGATTAGGTACTTACATACCCATATGGCACGAGTACGGGTGCTAACTTTGACGCCCAAGCGAGTATGAACTCAGATACAAGAATTTTTTTTTTAAATCACAGGTATGAAAATGAATACTACAGTATTTTGCTCAAACCCTTGTACATTGTCATCCCTATAATTAAGTGAAGATAACAATGTTTCACTGAATATCGAACATGTCTTTTTTTAATATTTCATATATAAAATGAATCAATTGTGCGATTTTTTTTGTTCATATAAGTCGCACTTCTCTTTTCCTTACATTTACACTTTCTTATTTCATACATTTACCTTTTGTATGAGTTCACTTTTATTGAGTGGATTTTGATCTAGTCCTTTTTATTTTTGATATTTTTTTATAAATATATTATGGTTATTTAAAATAAAGAAAAGGATGACAATACTGACGAATTTTATGTTTTAAATTTTAAAAATCAATTTTAATTTTGACTTTTATTTGAATTTGAATTTGAATTAAAAATTAATTTTAAAAAATGGTTTTATTGAGTTAGAAAAAGATAAATCATAATTAGAACAATATAAATCATTTTATTTATATTTATAAAAAAATATAAATCATAGAAAAAGATGAATCAAGTGCATTTACTCAGCATCAACTCCAAAAAAAAACTCAAAACACATGAAATAATATTGTTCTGGCCTGGGCCCCGGCCTGACCACGCGGGCCCAGCCCAATAATGTTCCACCAGGCCCAGTCCCGTCCGAGCACTACATCGGGCACGAGGTCCCCGACAAGCAAGAAAGGCCTCCCTGCGAGGAAGGCATGCCCCAGCTACGTCGGGCAAAAGACTCCCCGCTCGACCAAACAGTGCCCTCCGCGGGCAAGACCTGCCCCCCGCGGGCAGAACCCGCTCTCCTGTCGGACAGGACAACGTGTCCTTCACACGTCATCAATCAACTGCCCACCTCTGAAAGAGCAGGTCAAACCTACTTTCCGGAGATCACTGGACAGTAGAACTAGGACAAATATCACGTTCTGGTTTTCACTACGCCACGTAAACCCTAACCGTCATCTGGTTTGGGCCTAACAATCTAGCCCAACACAAGTGACCGTTGGTCAGCGCTGGGGTTTCTCTATAAATACCCTCTTACTCTACTCAGGTCAAATCAAATATTGAAAAATCATAGAAAACGATTGCATTATTAAAAAAATCACGCTACTACTATTCTACTCAGTGAGTAAACACACCTAACACACGCTTAATCTCGCTTTCGTTCCGGAAGTATTGGACGGAAAATCTCACCGATGTACCTTCTCTTTCCTTTCTCCGATTGGTCTTGGTGGAACCGTTTCACCGATTTCACTCTCTCTCACAATCCTTTCTTCTACGCTCTATGTGCTGCTTACTCTCTCATCTCCTTCCTCGCTCTCGTATGTTGCTTTGTCCACTCTCTCTTCTCTTTCTCTCTCTCATTCATCGTTTAATTCTCTAGAATTTCCGATTTCGATTTTGCAGATTCAACTCATCAGAATTGAGCTCAGAGTACCGGAATACGGTTGGACTACGCAGAAGATTTTTCATCTATTTAACTTCATTGTTAGCGGAGGTTTTTTTATTTTATTTTATTTTTATCATTATGCTTTCTATTTAAACTTTATTCCTCCGTTAATTATTGCATTTTTCATTTGTTTTTAACTTTATTTTGCAGTACGTGCTCTAGTGTTTGGATTTCACGCTCGGATTTTTTTCTTGCATCCGAAGGTTAGTTTTGACTTTTTGCGTCTATGGAATATTCACCTTCACTTTCAATTGCTGAGAGTGATGATCCATAATAAGTCTGTTTGATTCGTTCTTCCGTGAAAAAATTAATTCTGATTGAATTGTTTTTGGATAAATTCTTGTAAAAATGATTTGAATGGTAAATTTTAATTGAAAAAAACCTACAATTCTAATTCAAAGTATAATCAATTCTAGAAAGCAACCAAAGATGTCAAAATCAATTCTATAGCTCCAAAATCAATTTTAATTGTTCTAACCGTGAAACCAAACAAACTCTCTATTGTGGTGGCGAAAATTGATTTTGATGGAAGTGATTTTAGTTAGAATGAGTTTATGTTTGGTTTAGCTTTTGGAAGGGTCAAAAGCGATTTTAAAGGTATAGAATTGATTCTGGAATGATTTTAAGGTGTTTGGTTCTTCTAAAAAAGAATTGATTCTGCCTTCAGAATTGAATTTACTTGAAGCTACAATTCGTAGCTTTTGAGTTTAAACATGATTTTTACAGTAAAATTTATTGTTCAATTCACTTTTACAAAAATGTATCCAAGCATAAATCACCTTACATCCAACTTACTTTTAACTAGAACCAATTCCACAAATCATTTCCCTCAGATTCAATTCTCCTCACCGCAGTTCCAACATACATTGAGTTTAAAGTGGAGTGTAAAAATCACTTTGAGAGGCAAAAACTACAAATTATAGCTTTAAAATAATAAATACTAAACAGGAATTACTGAAAATACCAAAATCAATTTGCAGTCTCTAGAATCACTTTTGACTCTGTCAAAAATTGGATTGGAAGATGCATTGCTTGCTCGATTAGGTTTTATATTTGACTTTTGCCTCTGTTGAATGTTTAGTCTTTGAATGGTCAGTCTCAGTTTGAATGGTCAGTTTCAGTTTGAAATACTGACATAGAGTGGTTACTTTACTTGTTCTGTTAGGTCTTGACTTTGGTGCTGTTAGATCTACCGGGGCTTGTATTTTTTTCAACATACACACTTCTTGTCCTTTTCTGGGCTGAAATTTATCACCAGGCATGTTTTTTTTCTCTTTCTTTATTCTATTAAACCTGTTTCTTTGTGCTTTACTGAATATAATGAACCAGCTATTATTAAGTGATTATTATGCACATTCTTGTGATCAAGGAATATTTTTTATTTTAATGAGGAAATGGATTATAATTTTATTTCATGTTTGAGCAGGCAAGGAGTTTACCAACTGATAAGCTCAGAATAGTTTATATCTCTGTAAATGGTGCCATGTATTTTATCCAGGTATATGTCTCATTTCTTGTTGCAAACAACAACATTGTATATATAAGCTTATCCGCTCTTTTTTGTTTGTGGGATTCCCTTGGTGTTTGTTTTGATACATAAGAAATCTCCCTCGCATTTTAGTGTTTGCACTAACCACATTTCAGGTCTGCAGCATTCTATTTCGTAAGCAAACTTTTTTTTATTTTTAATTTTAAATAATGATCTGTTGGTGTGTCGGCAAGGTCTTCTGGTGACTGAAATTTTTATGGCACAATAATTTCTAGGACACTTGTTTTGGTTGAGTACCAATTCTGTCTTGTCAGTGTTGGAAGTTGCTTTTAAAATATGCAATTTGATATCTGTTAAACTGTGGCTTTTGATTCAGGCTGGTATTTGGATTTACCTCTGGATATATTACAATGATGTCGTCGACTTCATTGGGAAGATATTTATTGGAGGTTAGCTTTTTAAGCAGAGAAGTATTATGTTTCTCGTGTTTAAGAATTGCTTTTGCAACCTTCGAAATATTGGTAAAGCCATATCACTTTTTTCACGAGAACTACTTTACTTTTCTTCAGGTCTATCATTTGTGGTTGCAATAGGCTTCCTAATATTTGGAGGAAGGTGAGACTTCTGCAATTGATTGGATTATCTTTGAAATACCTTTTGCAGTTCCTCAGTTTTGTTTATTAATGGGTTTTGTTTTGGTTATTGTTGTGTGTGTGAAAATTTTTATTTCCACCTGGTAATTCATGTTTCCAGATTATTTTTCATGCTGAAGCGTTTCCCAATTGAATCTAAGGGGAGAAGAAAGAAGCTTCAAGAGGTATGTCAAATTTATTCTCTGCAAGTAAGTTTGATAAATTTTATGGGAAAAATATTTGATAGTATTGTTGGTTACTTTATTTTTAGTTATTTTCTATGTATGATCATGTCTTTTTCTGTTACAATCATCCATTTCGCTTTTGGTCTCATATGGTCTATTGTCTTTTTTGATGTAGTAACTAGTAAGTTCACATTTCTGTTACAAAAGTTCATATACATTATAGCAAACAACAATAGAGATTTGGGTATTATGGGATACTTAAGTTTCACATTAAGTAGTATGAAATGCTCGATGGAGTACTATGTGGCTTGGTTCTTTCCATTTGACAACTATCGTTTAATAGATGGTTCTGCGTGTGGTTGGGTGCTTATCTTATGCTACCTCCGTTCCTTTTTATAAGAGACAACTCATTTTTTAAATTCATTGAATAATCAATGTATTTGGTCAGTTTATAGACTAAATACATTGATTATTCAATGAACCTAAAAAGTAAGTTGTCTCTTATAAAAAGGAACGGAGGTAGTAGTAATCTTTGCTTTAATTGGAAGATTTTGATGGCTCCTGCCAAGAACATTACTGCATAAATTTAATGTTCTAGGTTCTCTTGGATTAGATCACATTGTGAAATAAAAAGAACCTATTCAATATTTTCATATCTTACTCCAGACGACCGGATGTAGATAAATTATAAATTGAAAAATATGTATAATAGTATAGTTATATTCACATAAATTTGGTTTTGTATTACAGGTTGGATTTGTCACAGTCATATGTTTCACCTGTTTTCTGATAAGATGTGTGATGGTAACGTCCAACTATATTATTTTTCTGCTATATTATTTATGTTCAAGTTGGCATTTGTCAATATTATTTCTGATTTTCTGTAAATATGTTAGGCATAAAAATTTTATTCTTTTTTTGCATGGTTTCTGCTCATTGTTCCTTTGTTATTCTGTAATACTGTAACCATCTTCCCTTTTATTGGAGCAACTAGCAAGAGAGGGAGACCAAAGAATCATTAGAGGAAAAAAAAGGTGCATATTTGGTGTCGTGGTGGCTCATCGTGATTCTTGGAACCCACCCATACCAAGCATGCACCAAGTGCTTGTCAATTGTCCTGAGAAATTGAAAACAAAATCTCTATGGTTAAAGTTAATAATGATATATGAGGTGTTATTATTCAAGTGCTTCTTTCTTAATTACTCTTTTGTTACACATGTAGGTTCTTCTATCTGCATTTGATTCGGATGCATCTCTTGATGTTATGGACCATCCGATTTTGGACTTCATCTACTACATGGTATTTTTCTTGTGTTCCTTTGTGTTAGTTGCTCTTACTACTTTGGTGTCACTCTCTAAACATATGGGAATTGGGAATTTACCTTTCCGTTTTAAATTACAGGTGGTTGAGATCCTGCCTTCAGCTTTAGTCCTCTTCGTACTGCGCAAATTGCCACCAAAGAGAATATCAGCTCAATATCACCTAATCCGATAACTGCAAAGCATATTGGATCTTACTGTATTCTTTCACCAATCGGTTATGACTTTAATGGCACTGTAGTTAATGGTGTTCCTCTGCTCTTGCCCATCAAGTATATTCTCATGCAGCAGTACTTTACATGTGTGATAATCAGCAGTTGCTGCTTGGGTAGTGTAATCTGTAACCTTCTTTCCATATAAGTAAACCGAGGATTGAGGGAAGTTCATTGAGGGGACTAAACAAATAGAAAATTTTATGACGTTTAGAGATGTAGGCTTGCCATGATGTATTCATTCTTTCCATATTCAATACTTCATGGGATTTCTGTTCAATTTTGAATTAATATACACCTGGTTTGAGTGAAAATGTTGCAAAATTGAATTAGTACGGTTGTTTGTATGAGGTGGATGCATTACAAGAATTCAAGCAATAGTTTTGTTTTAAAACTAGAAACGTGTTTATTTTTTCTTTCCATTTTTGCTTTCTACTGGGCCAAGTGTATTTCAAATTCAAAAAACATGCTGTAAGTCATGACCTAAGAAAATTTTAGGTTATCCCTAAGGGTAGCAAAATAGATGAATTTAATGGATATGGATTAGATTGTTAATGGATGGATCAAAGTAATTCATTAATCCATTAACAATTCACTAAACTCTCTTAATAAAAATCTAATCCAATCCATCTATTAAAAGATAAAATTTATCAAATTCATCAATTAACATATTTCTAATAGATGGATATCCATCCATTCAAAAAATTAATTTAAAATTTTTTAATTTAATAAGTGACAACATAATATCCAATGGATTTATAAAATGAAATGGATGAATTGAATCCATTCATATGAGTTAGTGGATGGATTAGATCAAATCCATTAAATTATTTTTTGTCTTATGGATGGATTGGATGGATATTATCTAAATGGATTTCACCTCTAGTTATACCCTTATTATTATTCATCTACTCTTGCATTTTTAAAAATATTCCTCTCCTCTTACATTTTTAAAAATATACCAATTTTATTCTTTTCGCATATGAAATAATTTTATTATTTAATATTTATTATTTTTCAGTATGTATTTTTTCTTCATCAAATAACTTGCAATCAAATTTTTTAACATGTATTTTTTTTCCATTAAATAACTTGTAATCGAGTTTTTCGGTATATATTTTTTCGTCACTAAATAATTTGCAATCAAGTTTTCCGGTATGTATTTTTTCTTCACCAAATAACTTGCAATCAAGTTTTTCGGTATGTAATTTTTCTTCACTGATTAAATTATGCACCGGAAAACTTGATTGTAAGTTATTTGGTGGAAAAAAAAATATATCAAAAAACTTAATTACAAGTTAATTGGTGAAGAAAATTACATATCAGAAAATTTGAATGTAAGTAATTTAGTGAAGAAAAAATACATACTAGAAAACTTGATTGCAAGTAATTTGATGAAGAAAAATTAAATATCGGATAATTTGATTGCAAATTATTTGGTGAAGAAAAAATGCATATCGGAAAACTTGATAGCAAATTATTTGATGAATAAAAAATACATACAAAAAATAATAAATATTAAATAATAAAATTATTTAATAAGTGAAAAAAGATACTATAGAATTGAAATATTTTAAAAAGTATGGAGAAAAAATTTATGACCTAAATGTTGAATTGCTGAGATATTTGCTTTCCATTATTTATGGGAAAAGCTTAAATTCGCTCCTCTAAGTTCATGTATATTTTGGTCTTCAAATTTTAAAATTTACATTACTTTTCAAAACTTTTTTAACACTGTTTTTGATATGTCTATTTACTTGTCATTAAACATTAGAGAAATTATCATGTTTTCAAGCTTTGGGATAGACGTATATTCCGAGCTAAGATGTAAACAGTACATCGAACTTCTTAATTTGAATTTTGATGCGAAAATGGTTACATATATTTTGAAATAACGTAGACTGAAATATTTTATGGATATTTTCTTGCTAATAGTTTATTTTTTTTGGGTAACAAGCTTGCTGATAGGTTGTATTCATAAGCGTTCAGAAATGCAAAAATCAATAAATCAAAGGGATTTTTAGTACATCTTAGGGCATCACATCAAAATATAAAAATATTTTAAAATTTAAATAAATATCTCAGAACGCACCCTAGATCAATAAAATTCTCGCTCAACGTAAAAAAAACGATGGAGATGCATCTTCGTAAACATTACGAAGATACATCTTTAGACACTAATTGTACATAACGCGTTAGCGCGTCATAATCATTCTTCTTTTTGATTTGTTAAAAAGACCATACTTTTTTCTAAAACTCTCAAAATCAATCAAGCAACATTCAGGAGAGTGGGAGTAGGACGAAGGATATGTACTTTAACACCTACATTCGAGTGTATCTTGGTCGCTTGATAGCAGAGGATATGCACTTTAACACCGATCACCTTGAGATGTAGCCATTTGACGACATAGTTTTATATTTGGGATGGTTGGCTTGCGGTTCACGTCTGACATTTTCTCATCTGCTTGAGCGTGTCATGCGGTAGTTCAACTACATCCACTATTTCTACGCATCATGTTGTCTCTGTTTCTTCCGCTATGACATGTAGTGATATGAATGTTATGTTTGATGATTATCTTAGTATTTGGTATCGGAGGAGGCACAGAGTACCAAAGTACAGAGCGACTAGAGCTATGTATACGGGTACATCAGGCGGTTTTTTAGGGTGTCACATCCATATATGATGCAGACTGCTCTAGAAGATCCACCAAGACTAGCTCATCATGAGATATTAGAGGAGGAGCAGGCTAGGTTAGATCATGTTCATGATGTGTTGCCTAGATGTCGTCGATGTCGTATTGTGGAGATTGCGCAGCCAGATATTGACAGAAGTATTTTTTTTATGGTTCTGAGGGAGGGAGGTTCTAGATGTCATTATGACAGAGTAACGAGAGACACTTATGTACTGGAGACAACGTCACAGAGTAAGGGGTTAGAGGAGTCCGAGGAGCTCGAGTCAGACATACACATTAGTTGATAGTATTTGAGTTTGAATTTATGTTTGATTGTATTTTATTTTTACTTATTTCGACTTTATTTTATATTTCAATTTTATTGTGTATATCATTATGACTTATTTTGACTCTGAATTTATATATAATATTTTTGCATATCGGTTGTATAGTTTAATGCTTATTACATAATAGAGACCTTAACATTTATAAATCATCATTTTCACCTGAATAACCATAAACAAAGATGTATCTCCGGATTAATAAATGTTTAAAACGGGTCTTCTAGAGAGGGATACATGGAATAGAGGGATACTTGGGATGTGATTTAAAATATTTTGGAGATATATATTCGGATTTGTATTTACAAAATATGTTGGTATGATTCAGTGAAATAAATGAAATGTGTTTTAAAATATTTCGGATCTTCGGATCAATTGTAACTTAAATCAAAAATGCGTCTAAAGTTAATGAGAATTTTACGTGCAGCCCTTGCAAAGTTAAAGTGTTATAAATTACTCTTATTTAGCACTAGTTTGGAACATTGACTGTGCGTTTCGTCACTGCTCCAAATTGGAGTTTGTATTGGGATGCTAGACCTAGAATCATGTATATGCTACTGCCCAACATAACAAAACTATGTTTTTCACCTTTGTATCGTATTGGGTTACTAGAAAGAATACGCCACTGCCTAACAAAACAGCCTTGGTATATCTTCCCTGTTTTGATCACATTGCGATGCTAGAATCATGTATATGGCACTGCCTAACAAAACATAGCCTTCGTGAAAAATTCACGTTTTGATCGCATTGGGATGCTAGAATGTATATGCCACTGCCTAACAAAACAGTCTTTATATATTTTATACATTTTTGCATTGGGATGCTAGAATGTAATATGCCTATATTTTACAAATTTTTGCATTGAGATGCTAGAATGTATATGCCACTGCCTAACAAAACATAGTCTCGGTATATTTTACACATTTTGATCGTATTGGGATGCTAGAATGTATATTTTACACATTTTGATCGTATTGGGATGCTAGAATGTATATGTCACTGCCTAACCAAGCAGTGTTAGTTGAACATGAAGGCATGCTATTACTCTTACAAATGAAGGTTAAATCCACAATCATTGACAAACCGCAACTCAATCTTTGAAAGACTTCCTTCAAATACAAATGCACAAGGACAAACTATTTTTATTTTGGTTTAAAAACAATTTTCTTTGTTCTCCTATAACAATTTCTAAAATCAGGTTTTAGACTATTATTTTACAAATATGGGATTTTTGTCCTTACCATTCTTGATTATGTGACACAACAGAAATAAAAGTATAATCTATTTGTGAACTCAAGCTTTTCAAGCTTTCATTCAATAAAGTCACATAACAAAACAACTGTAAGTAGTAAAAGGAATGATAATATTATATCTACAAGATCAGAAAAGAGAAAACCTATCATCTCACTTCTGTAAAAACTTTGGCCATTTGTCACGGTGCAACTAAAATCTTAATAATTAACAATTGCACACGAAAAAAGGGTTTGAAAATATTTATATATTACAATGTTTGATGACCACTTTGTTGTGAATTCTGTTGTATGTTCCCACACAACAATGGATGGACAATTCAATCTTGGTGAAGTTCGTCAGCTTGAGGGGCAGCAAATCTAACATTGGCAGGTCGTGCCACAACAACTGGGTCATCAGCAAATAGCGCTTTTATGAGTGATGGCGTTTTTAGGGGCCTACGACCAGTCATCTTAGGATAGACATCTTCAAGAAAATAGTATGCATGGCCAGCAATCATTCCCTGGAAAAATGTTGTCAAGATTTACATTAGTTGTTGTACAGAAAGAAGTCAGTTGGTATATTTATTCTTTGAAAGGAAACATACCAGTAGGTCTACCCAGGCACTGGCACCAACAAGAACAGAGAACCCCAAGAGAACCTACATGTATAAAACTTTAGGATTAGATTTGCTTTGATTATAAGTTAGAACTTAAGTCAGAAAAAAATATCTTTCATACAAATCAAACCAAAATGTAACAGCTGTATATATAGTATAGCTTACGCACCCATGGAAGGTAGGCGGCAGTGAAAGTAAAAAGACCTAGGAAGCTCATGTGAATATAGGGATTCTGTTTGCTCCAAACATAAACCTGAAAAAGATAAATCAAGGTTTTGAAATTGAGGTGGATTTGAACACGGGACTCAACAAAAAAATTACACATAATGTAGCTCACCATCATAAACGTCAAGGAGTTGCTGAGGAATATAATTTTTGCAAATGATTCTGATAAGTAAGGTATCATTCCCCCAAGAAGTACGATTCCAGTCAATACAGATGCACCAAATAAGAGCATGTAAAAAAAGTCAGCAGTTCTTCCCCTGAACGAGTTCTCTTCTAGAAGCTTGCAGTACCGAGCAAGAAAAAACATATGAAACAAGAAATCCAAATCTGCATATTCCATAAGAATGTACCATGATGAATTTAACTGTGTGATTCGCAATTTTCAAATTATAAGGATTGAAAATGTACGCCATTGATCATCTAGTCCCCATATAGAAAAGGCAAAAGAAATCAGAGGTGTAAGGCAAAAGAAATCAGAGGTGTAAGGCAAGGGAGGAGGGAAGCGTCTTATACACCCATTTATATCAAGAGATTATTGATTTCAGTAAATTGAACCCCAAACCATCAGAGTGAGTCTCAAGTTTCAATCCTCTTATTTTATAGAATGCATTAAGAAATATGCATAGTGTATCAATGTAAATGCACCATGACAAGAAAAGCATTATCTAATTCGCAATGCAAAAGGGGGGTTCAGCAAATGAGGTAATTAAGGTCATGTGTAAATATGAAGCAAGAACTATGCTATGATCTAAGCAACAACAATAAGTATGATAAAGTGGTTCTATTGCTTCTGATAATTAGCACGGGTAAACAAAAGCTCATATCTCATAATCAAGTAGTTTAATAATTGGAACTATCATGCCTACATCCATTCGCCCCTTTGTTAATATATTTGGACCAATCAGATTGACATCATGGCCAATAAGTGTGTACATCTCCCCTATAGCAACAGCCTCTCCTCACCCGTGTTGTTCCCAAACATAACTCTGACTTTATTAGTGCATTGCTCCTAAAACGTGGTTCTGCGATGTAAAAATTAAGCATGCGATACTTGAAAAAAGTCCCCATTTATCTCAACAAACGACTAACAACCAATCAGATTAACACCATACCCAATAAGTATGTACATCTCCCCTATAGCAACAGCCTCTCCTCACCCGTGTTGTTCCCAAACATAACTCTGACTTTATTAGTGCATTGCTCCTAAAACTTGGTTCTGCAATGTAAGAATTAAGCACACGATGCTTGAAAAAAGTCCCCATTTATCTCAACAAACGACTAACGACCAATCAGATTAACACCATACCCAATAAGTGTGTACATCTCCCCTATAGCAACAGCCTCTCCTCACCCGTGTTGTTCCCAAACATAACTCTGACTTTATTAGTGCATTGCTCCTAAAACATGGTTCTGCAATGTAAGAATTAAGCACGCGATGCTTGAAAAAAGTCCCCATTTATCTCAACAAACGACTAACAACCAATCAGATTAACACCATACCCAATAAGTGTGTACATCTCCCCTATAGCAACAGCCTCTCCTCACCCGTGTTGTTCCCAAACATAACTCCGATTTTATTAGTGCATTGCTCCTAAAACGTGGTTTTGCAATGTAAGAATTAAACACACGATGCTTGAAAAAAGTCCCCATTTATCTCAACAAATGACTAACAACCAATCAGATTGACACCACACCCATTAAGTGTGTACATCTCCCCTGTAGCAACAGCCTCTCCTCACTCGTGTTGTTCCCAAACATATCTCTGATTTTATTAGTGCATTGCTCCTAAAACGTGGTTTTGCGATGTAAGAATTAAGCTCACGATGCTTGAAAAGAATCCCCATTTATCTCAACAAATTACTAACCACCAATACTCCTTTAATCACATTGACACATACATGTTATAGAAGGAAAGATAGATGCATCAGTATTTGATAAGCTATGAGTAAAATGAGTTCTACACAGGTATCAGCAAGTAGAAATCTCCATATTATAAATGAAAATCACATGTAAACATCATTATTAGAGGACTAGCTGCATAAATACAAAAATTGTTATATAACAAGTAACCCTCATGCCAATCACAATGGACAGGCAGCTCAGCTAGTGAGCTGAGGGACACCAGATGTGTTCCAAGTAGGAGGACCAAACTTGAAACACCGAGAACAAAACCTAACCCCTAATTTACCAACAACTAGCATTAGGCTTAAAAACAAAATAATGCGAAGAGCAAAGAATATTTTACCCATCTTCCGGAAGTACAAGAAATTAGTAACCAAACGCCAAAACTGATATTGCTTCACAACCAGTCTAGGGTTCAAGTACAAATGATACGGAGAAATTATCTGCAAAATCATAAACAAACTCATAAACAAGAGCACCAAACAAACAAAACAATCACCCACTTGCAATTTTCAAAATCAGTATAACAAAAGACGAAATCAGACCCTTCACAATGTGCGAAATGAGGAAGAAAAAAAAAAACTAAATCACAATAACATAAAACCTAGTTTCAAGTTAAAGTACTAACGATTACAAATCGAGAAATCAAAAAACAACAACAATTTCACATAGCAGAAAAAGGATTGGAACCCTAAAACCTAGAAATGGAAAAGAAATTTGGTATTATACCTCGAGGGAGCATCCGATGGTGGTGACAACAGCCGCAGTGAGATAGGATCTTGTAATAACTGGCATCTGTTTGTACCACTCTTCAACCGCTTGAGCCATTGTTGTTTTTTTGCCCTAATCTCTCTGATTCTGATTAAATTTTATAATAAGAAGAAGAACGATGTGAAAAGAAAGTGAAAGTTTAGGTGTGATGTTTCAGGAAAAGTGGGAGCGAAAACGAAAATGTGAGATTTCAGGGGTGTTTGATGTGATAGAAGAAGCGTGGAAGAAGAGAGCGAGAGGAAGAAGAAGAGGTGAGAACGCGACGAATGACAGAGGAACCGCGAATCATAAAGCGCGTGGTTTTCACGAACCAATAGGGTCGTTTCTATTTGTTGTACTTTGAATTTTGGTAATACAAGAGCAGCTGGGCTATTCTTGCTGCGTGGGTTGGCCTGTATATTGAGCCCAAAGCTGATCGTGTTTTTCAGTTTTCATAACAAACCAAATATGAACTTTGACCACAAATAGAAAACACCATAACAAATTATATTAAGGATAGTAGCGTCAAATTGAATTAATTTTCTATTAAGGTGAATTATTAAAATAATCATTAATTTAATAATAAATAAATTTAATGGCTATTCTTCTGAATTAGAATTAGAAATGATTGATGGGATGGTTGAATGGTGTTTTGTAGGGTGGACTTAAAATTCTGATATGATAGAAAGGGGACTGACATGAAAGGTTAACACTATGACGTCTAAGTTAACAAGAGAATAATGAGGAATGTGTGAGTGGAGGTTTGCATCATACATTTTCCTTCATTTGTGATCCTTTATATATGAGTTTGTTTGGAGCTTTCCAAATCTGAAGCAAATGTTGGCTCCGTCTTAATAAGCCTTTGACCGGCCCAAAACAATTACCTCTAAGGTTTATTGCGGTGTGGTAAAGATAAGCCTTTTTAAAGAACCAGGTCAAAATTTTAGCATCTGGTCGTTACTTGTAGAAATGGAAGAGGTTTGACATTTGACGTGAATAACCTTAGGAACAAGTGAATTAAATGTAAATTTCATCATTGAGACATTTCGCAGGATTTTTTGGACATGTGGCTAGGGGTGGGAATATGCCAGACCAACTAACAGAGACCTACGACCTAACTTACATAAGCTCAGCCCAGCCCAGGCTTTTTCTTAAATAGAAAAGGCCTAGGTTTTTTTATAAGACTATTTAGCTAAAGAGGTTAGGTCACAGGCTGTAAGAAAAAACCTTTTAAGCCTATCAGGCAGGCCTATTTATAAAAATTCAATAAATTTATTATTATATTGTATGTTTTACTTTAAATTAAAATACGAAAATAAAGCTTAGTTATTTTGAACAACTTATGAAAATAAGTTGAAAAACATTATAAACAATGTCATAAGTTTTTTTTCCATAAGTTCTCTCCAACAAATAGTATCACCAAACTTATGATAATATGTAAACTTGAATGAGACAATGAAAACAAACATTTAGTCTTAATGATCTTTTAATTTGTTAGTCTATTTAACATTAGTTGTATTTCTTATTTACAAACGTTTAAATGAAGTAGGCTTTTAAATAGGCTAGTAGGCCAATCAGACCTTGGAAAAGGTCAGGCTTAGACCTAAAAATAAGCCTATGATAGGCTACAGGCCAGACTTAGGCTTTGAATTTTTTAGCAGGACAGACTCAGGCTTGACAATGCCTAGCTCGATCCAGCCTATTTCCACCCCTACATGTGGCCCTAGGTTTCTAGACTAGGGAGTGACACCTCTTCCTAAGGTGTTTAAGTGTCATTGTATTCCTGAGACAAAATCCAATAGTTACCTCTCTATTTCCTTCATTACAAGCTCTTGATTAATCTGTCTTGCTTCTATATAAAATAGTCACTTGATGTTTCAGAGTGTTTTTTGTCCTTTTAAACAAACTACAAGTTCTCTTTCTTTTACACACTTTTTTTCCTTCAATGAACTGTGGTAATACAAATTTCATTAAATCTCTGTCGGGTTACATATTTCATGGTACAGTGCATCTTCTGAGTCATCTTCTTTAATTATTATTTCCATATCTGACTCTCTCAGGTACCATCTTTCTTTTTCTTGTTTACAGTTCATTGCTCTCCTTCGTTGTTCTAGTTATAGCTCATATAAGAAATGTACTTACAAATGTAATAAATATAAGTAGTAATGATAATTCCTCTTTCGCTATTGGAATAATGACCATGGTGATGTCAAATGTCAGCCCTTTATAAGTTAACTAACCTATCACAAACCTTATCGTGCTTAGCGATATCTTTGGATGTGAAAGAAGTTATGTAGTGTTATATTTGTAAAGGACCTGGCTAGAGCAATGACCATAAGTCTTCTTTTTGAAAAGACGACAATCATGTGTCGCCCTTAGAGAGGCACCGCTCCCCCCCCCCCCGTTAGGGGAGATTTTCACTATGGAGCATTAAACATTGTGGGACTTCCTTTCTAGAGGAATATCTTTGTGAGAGACACACCACATATTAACCCAAAACCTTAAGTTGATAGGTGTATAGGTTCTTTCACTTATAAATGCTTAATTCTCTACATTTTTAGCCAATGTGGGATTATTATTCATACTACTCATACTTGTTATACTCAACACTACTCCCCCTCAAGTATGAGCCTATCCACAATGCTCACCTTTAAGCGAAAGCTTCTTTCATTCATATACACTTGTATCGCCATTGACACTCTTCAACGAAACACCTCATACCCACCACCTGTTGGGAGTACTTTGGATACAAGTGAGTCGGTCCTTCACTCGAAACAAAGGCTCGTGATTCCACTTTTGGGTGAGATTTTTTTCCAACTATGGAGCATTGAACATTATGAGACTTCTTTTTTAGAGCAAGACATTTGTGAGAGACACACCACATATTCACCTAAAATCTTAAGGTAATTGATGTATGGGTTCTCCCACTTATAAATGCTCAAGTCTCCATATTCCTAGCTAATATGGGACTACTACTCATACTACTCACACTTGCTATACTTAACACTTCCCCTCAAGTGTGGATCTATCCATAATGATCCCCTTTAAGTAGGAGCTCTTTTCATTCACATACACTTGTATCGTCGTTGACACTCTTTAACGGGACACTCAACCCACCGCCTGTGGGGATACTTTTGATACAAGTGAATCAGTCATTCACTCGAACTAAAGGCTCATGATACCACTATTGTGAAAGTTTTTCACTAGGGAGCATTGTTACTTTCTGGGACTTCTTTTTTAGAGCAAGACCTTTGTGAGAGACACACCACATATTCACTTAAAACCTTAATGTAATAGGTGTATGGGTTCTCCCACTTGTAAATGCTCAAGTATCCATATTCCTAGCCAATATGGGACTACTACTCATACTACTCACACTTGCTATACTCAATACTCCCAATACTTCCCTATCTCCCAATCATGGGGAACGTGAGATACGACATTCTATAGGCAGACAGAAGTATGGATTAGTAACTGAAACACATCCACTTGTAAATAGGAATTCAACAGTCCATCATTCACTAGGTGGGCAGTGATCTTTTCATACGAAACCTCAGGCCTAAAACATCAATAAATACCTCTCTCACACATGTACTTTTTGACCAGTATAGTGGCGCCCACCGTGGGGCCCCGAAAAAACTAACGATCACATTTATTTCACTCTAACTCCTTCCATCTTCCCTATAAAGATGGCCAACAAAATTCTTTCTTTAATACAAACACCATAGTTGGAGGTTTCTCTTGTAGAGGTAGCTTTAGCTCCTCTCGAAGGAAATATGCAAGGCAAATGCTTGAAGCAAGTGTAATATCTCCTGGTTTCCCTAGGGGCGAGCGACAAAAAATAGGAGTTAACATCATCTTTTTCGATAAGGACGCAATCATAGTCAATCCCCACGATAATGAACCTTTGGTCTTCTGCAACATAACACCTAGGATATTAAGCAAGTTTTGATAGATCCCGGTAGCCCTGTTGATATCCTGTTCTGGGACGCTTTCTAAAGACTACAACTCAATCCTAACTATGTTAAAATGTGAAGTGGCTCGTTAAAAAGATTGTTAGGAAAACATGTACAAGTAAGGGACCATGTGGCCCGGGAGACTACATGTGGAAAGGGCGTAAACACTAAGGATACTAATGTCAACTACCTTATTATGGACTTATTATCTCCATATAACATCATCCTTTAGCAACCTTTCGTCAACGCACTAGGGGCGATCTTTTCCACGATGAAGAAAGTCCAAATAGGCCATTTCTCCCATTAGATCCTAAAAATAGGAACTTCACTCTCTAAGGAGGAAAAACATGATTTATTCAGCTAACTCGTTAAAAATGTTGATTTGTTTGCTTGGACTCCCTATGATATACCTTTTATAGACACCAAACTTGTGAGTCATTTTCTTGCCATCGACCCTTCTTCCAAATTTGTGGCACAAAGGGAAGCGGAATGTTGGTGGGAAGAAGAGGGTCGTCATTGATGAAGAGGTGGGAAAACTATTTAACGTCAGGTTCTTCATAAAATTAAAATACCTCACCTGTCTAGCCAACGTGGTTATAGTATGAAAAGTTAACAACAAATGGCGTATGTATGTAGATTTCACTTATCTGAACGCCGCTTGTCTTAAGGACCTGTACCCACTGCCAGACATCGATCGCCTTATCGATGGATCCTTAGGCTATCATGCATTGAACTTCGTGGATGCATTTTTGGGATATAACCAGATCCGGATGACCCCCGTGGACGCTCCCAAAACAACATTTATGTAGAATCATGGCAACTATTACTACAATGCCATGCACCTTCGGCCTTAAAAATGTTTGTGCCACCTACCAGCGACTCGTGGACAATATGTTCACCCATCATATAAGGAGGAACCTAGAGGTATAGATTGACAACATGATAGTGAAAACTATCGAATGGCACAACCATGCAAATGATTTGGAGGATCTCTTGTAGTCAGACAGAAAATATGATATGCGCCTAAATACCGCCAAGTGCTATTTCAGGGTTCAGACTAGTAAATTCATAAGGTTCATGTTGGCAAGAGGCATTAAATCCAATCCTGATAAATTTTAGACATCTTCATTGTAACAACCCAATTTTTATTAATTAGTTATTTCTATTAATTAATTGATTTATTGGAATTATTTTAATTATTTGAATTATTAGATGATTATTATTTTATTTGTGGAATTAATGTGTGAATATGTTATGTTTGCATATTACGCTATTTTATCATTTGGAGTTTTGGGAAATTAAGTTGGAGAGAATTTTAGATATTTCTCAATTAATGATAAGATGAGATATTTTGTGAGGAAATGAATTGGTAGATATTTTGAGAGAACAAAATATAATAGAGAGAAATAGAATAGATATATATAGGAGAAAGTGGAGAAGAAAAGAGATAGAAATAGGAAGAAAGAGGAAGAAGAGAGAAGAGGAGAATAGAGGAAAAAGCTTGGATAGCTCAAAATCAACCCTTAGAAGTCGATATAATCGGGTAAGGGTGTGAAATCTTATTATTCTATCAATGTGTGTGATTATGTATGTGTGTGTTGGATTGTTTGGATGTTTTCCATCTTTTTCCATTTTAGGCCGAAATGAGTTTAATCCATAGGAACCGATGTTTGAACGATTAGAATATGGAATTATTGGTGTAGTTTAGTCGAGGAATGTTAGGCTAAGACTACTGGAACTTGTTGGAATTGAATCAGGTGATTTTGGGAGTTTCTGAGGTTTTTGGATAGTTGAGGTTTTGAGTACGCAGACACTCGCTAGCACGTTCGCTAGGCGAGCAGGGTGGCGAGTATTCGCTAAGCGAACTGGTAGCGAGTTGCCAGTGAACGTCCCCATACTTGGCCAAAATGGAAATGATCCTCTTCTCTAGTAGCGAGTGATGTAGCGAGTTGTTCGCTAGGCGAGACTCCAGCGAGCCAATAGTGAATCCTTCCAGTAGCGAGTGTTCGCAAAGGACTCGCTAAGCGAGGGGTGTAGCGAGCGTGACAACATTCCCATTTCTTGTTGTGTTCCATCCAATGTTGATTGTTCGGCTCGATTGTGATCGATCTTTCTGAATGCATAGTTGTATGATGTGATATGTTATGTTGTGGGTAGCCGTATGGCGTGAATCCTAGATTGTGGAATCGAATGTGAAATGTGGCCTTTTGGAAAATATATGCATTGTTTAAATTGATTAAAAGTGTATGATGATTGTGATGGAGTTCGTTGTCGTTTGGCGAGATAATGTGAATGCATATTGATTGTATATGAAGGATTCATGAATATGTAATCGTAATTGAATCTATTTGATTCTTGTGTACTACTTGATGAATATAGTGATGATGTTGAAAGTATGAATACTTTGATGAATGTGTTGTGTGTGCAATCATGTTATAATTCTTGTGTGATGAATTATTTGAGTATGCATGAGATTAAGATGCGAGAACGGTCTTAAGTGCATATGATTATTGATTGCATACACATCATTTGTTGTCAAGAGGCAATGTTTGCTAATTTCGTGGAGACTAGTGACTTGTCCCAAACCTAGAAGGGTGAGTTTGAAAGCTTAGAGGACGGACTTTTGTTTGTTATCAGTCTAGAGGACGGACCCGGTTTAAATGTAAAAACCGAAAAATGATAACAAGTGTTGGTACCACATGACATGAGTTACATTGAGTTGCATTGAGTCACATGGTATAGATATAATGGTTGTATGAAGGTATGCATATGTGTATGAATTGTTGAATTGCAGGTTGTGAATGTGTAATTATGAATGATATTGACTGATGAATTGATGAATAAACATGATTGTATATGTTTATATGAATTGTAGTGAATTAAACATAATGTGTATGTTTATGTGGATTGATTGAAATTGTGGAAGTGTGCATGATGTTATGCCTGGATTTTATATATATATATATATATATATATATATATATATATATATATATATATATATATATATATATATATATATATATATATATATATATATATATATATGGCGACGTATATGAGAAAATTCTGATGAATGTGGTGAGAATGTGAAATATGTATACTTTTATGTTAATATATATGATTATGTGCATTATTATTATGATAATATTTCTCACCCTTCTGCTGGAATGATGTCTTATATGACATCGTGCAGGTATCAAGGAGTAGTACTGCTCGTAGTTACGAAGTCACTATTGGTGTAGCTGTTTAGTAATCTAATTATGTTGGGTCGAGTCATGCTCTGGTCATGTAACACTGGGATCACTTGGTTTATATATTTTAGAGATACATTATGTACTCTATACTATGTTTTTATATTTGTCGAATTATTATGATGTTGGTCTTAGTGCCTAAGTAATGTTGATTTATGTGATGAACACGAATATTCTGTTAAGAGAATTATGAAAATAAATTGAATCCGCTGCTACATGCAAAGTGAAATCTTGAAAAACATAATTATTTATTAAAATGTTAAGGAGCATGACAAGTGTTTTTTTTTTATCTTTGAAAGTTATGTGTGACGCCCTTTTGTGAATGCATGATTATTTATTATGATTATTCATATAATTTTCGTGGGGTTTAGAAGGGTGTTACATTCATCACCATGAGAAGCTCCACAAATGGTAAGGAAGTGCAGTAACTTACCTTGTCTCCCTATCTCGCTTCCTCTTATACGCAGGTGACAAGGCTTTCATTTTCTTTGTTATCTTAAAGAAGAAAGAGATATTCAAATGAACCATCTAGCGCGAATAAGCTTTCTCTAAGGTAAAGGCTTTCCTCGCATCACCCTCATTCTCACTTACCCAAGGGAGGAGGAGTCACCATTCCTCTATCTCTCAGTCACAGACCATGCAACGAGCCCAACCCTTGTCCAAGAGACACACAAGGAAACATACTTATGTATTTCATAAGCAAGATGTTCAGAGGTGTTGAGGCACATTATAATAAGATTGAGAAGTTAGTGTTAGTCGTTGTTGTCGTAGAGAATAAGCTTAGACCTTATTTTCAGGGTCATAAGGTCTTTGTGAAAATCAACTATCTTGTTGGCCATGTCTTGAAGTAACTAGATTTGGTATGCAAGATGGTATATTGGGCGGTGGAACTATCGGAATACGACATCCAATATGTCATAAGGGGAAGCACCAAATCACAATCTCTGGCAGATCCATGGTAGAATTTAGCTCGCATGTAGACAAGCATATGCCTCCAGAATGAGCGCTCACTACTAAAAATATTGTAATTTGCCACGTGAAAATCACGTCACAACCTAAAATATCATGTTGCTACACTCAAATTAGCGACATGAGCAAGCATATTGCAGGAGCACAAGTTGCAACGTTTTACGACGTGAAAAATACGATCCAACTTTGCTATGTGAAAATCACGTCACTGTTATGTACATAAGGATATGTGCAGAAACCACAACCACCACCACGTTCCTTCACCACCGCCATCTTTCTGCACGTTTCTTAAAATCACCAAAAACAAATTCTTAAAAACTATGCATTCAACATAATAACATACTATACCAAACTAAAAACAATATACAACTTACATGGATTACAAAAATATACACATGGACACATGATTTCTCACTTTCTTTTTCATCTAATACAACTTGAATGGATGGTAGTGATGATTTCTCCAAGCTTATAAGAATAAAGATACATAAATAAAATAAAAAGGAAAATTGAACTAACCAACGGTTGGGATGATTGTGACGATTTCTCCAAGCTTGAACAAAGTGCCAATCGTGCAAAGTAAAATTTTGATTTCATTAATTCTAATCCACAATTAATCAATTAAACTATTGGTAATCAAATATCCCCTAAAACAACCTCTCAAGCAGCTCTTGCAAGAACTTCCAATCTCTCAGGCACAGTAGCAGGGTCAATATAGAAACCTCTCCTGATTAACCTTGGAACTGTAACAGTTATGACTCCATTTTCATAATCAGCAGAGATTCCATCAATATCAACCCTCCCGGGAAGCCGAAACTTCCTCTTAAACCTCCTCACAGGCTCTGTTGATTCTCCATCCATAACAGCAGCTTCAGTTCTAATGATAAGGTAGCTTGAGTCTTCAACCTCTACCCTTAGCTCTTCTTTCCTAACACCTGCCATGACAACCAAACACAAAAGTTTGCAATATTTGTTCCACATCTGTACAATCTTGCAAGAAATCTTCGTTTGTAACTCCACATATCTGGTCTCTAGTCCATATTTATATGGACTATTAACCAAATATATGTCTGGTCCATATTTATATGGACCTAAGATCAGATATATGTATTTATTTGTTTGTATTCAAGTCCTGAGTATTATCAATTAAGAACAAAACCAAAGCAAAGGAAAATTAGGCTTAATTACCTGGGATGTCAGCTGAAAATATATGAGATTGAGGGGTTTCAGTCCAGTGAACATAGTTTTCTGGGGTGAAATTATAGGGAAATAGAAGGTTGTAAGGGACAAGGTGCCATGGAAGATAGTGAGGTGGTGCAGAGAACTCCATTCTATGGTTCTGTGAGTGAAATCAGAGTTTTGGATGGTATAAGTGTAAGTAAAAAGTTAGGTAGTTGGTTGGCCTTTCAAAGACCAAGTGGGCAAATTGTGTGTATCTGAGATGTTACCTTACCAATGGTTTTTCTTATACATATGTTAATTAATTGGTCTTGAAATAATGTGGGACACAGGTTGAAAATATCAAGGACTCCTCATCTTTATATTATCCTTCACCATCAACAATGGAGAAATTTTTAAATAAATAAATAAAATAAAGTAGTATCACATGATTCACCGCCTTTTTGGAGCCAACTCACTTCTTGACCTTTCTTTATCAAGAGGAAACATAATCAACAAAATAAATAGACTAATAAAATGAAAAAATATCTAAGTTTGAAAACTGAGTACTCCAAATTGTAATTTACAAACCTGTCTAAAACTTTATAGGATTGCAAATATGGATACACTTGCTCATATGTGTAATTTTTTTTTGTAAAAAAACAGTATTTATATATTTAATGCAATATAAAGATGAACTTCACTCAACAACCTTTTGTAACAATCAAGGTGATGCATAAGTTTCAATGAAAAGTGAGAAGAATAAACTTCATTGCGACAATTGACAAAAGGACAGATGAAAGAACTCACCAAACTCAAACTGGAGTCAACCTGGAGTCAAGGTTACATAATTGTGTATATAACCTTGGGATCCATTATTCAGACACTAATACTAGAAAAATTCATAATCAACACATCATAAAAGGACTTCGTAGTTTTGTGGTATTTATGTTTCACTCAACCACATGACAAATATCAATTACAGAGTTTCTAGGACAGGCTGCATTCATGTGTTAACGCCAAACACAAAACCGTTACTGTATGAAGGAAGATTGCTGGAAGGCGTGAGATTTTTCACGGGCGAACGAAAAGGATTCGGTGTCACCGGATGTGTGATGTGAAGTCCAGCATTACGAAGGACTTGTTTAGCATTTACACACGAAGCTTCGGATTGATCAGTAAAGAAAGCAGGCACACCGATTGATTTAATTAAATCGAGTGCTCCACCCCAACTAGAATAATTTTCTAATCTAGAGTTCAGGGCAATAACAACATGTGGAGAAGGTAGGTATGAGGCTTCCACCTGATAAACACCTCTCACAAGATTCACTCTTACTCTGCTTCCTATTCCTGATGTTGTACCGGATAAATTTGTTGGAACTTCTGGTCCTACCATCACTATTTGTACATTTCCCATTCCATGAAGTAAATGGCCCACTTCTGCAAATGCTGGCATCCAATCTAACTCGCCTTCCGGGCCAAGGTAATGAATAATCACTTCCTTCCCTTTCAATAAAAGGTTCTTTGAACCTACATTAAGAGTAGTTAGTATGTGATACACAGTCAACGGATGCGAGAGTATATCGGCAACAGGACTTGACAATGGAAGTGAGCGAAGGTTGTAGTACTCCGACCAACCCGAGAGAAGTAACAGGCTTGGGGTGAAATTGTTATTGAAGGAAGTGTCGTGAGGATATTCGAATTCATCGAGTTCACCCCATTGTTCGTGCAGGCCACCTTTCAATGGAAGGAGACCAAAAGGGCAGTGAGTATAACAACTGCATTTTCTTCTCCACATACCCTTCTGGTGAATATCTAACGATTCAAGCCACTTGCAAGGTTGGTCAGCAGAACATGGGAACAAGAAAATGTTTATGGCTAGTTCTTCTTCCCTTTCCATCATGGCCCTGTAAAGTCCACACAAGTTTTTGTGTGTCTCATTCCAGTGTTGCTTTTGGCAGATTGAACCGCAATAAACTACCGTTCTACATCGGCCGCAACAAATCGACTGTTCTCCAAACACTTCTCTCTCACACATTGCACACTGTCTCAAACCAGTACTTGAGTATGCATTTGGGTCAATGAAAGTGTCGTCCCTGGGCGGTTCTACGTATTTAGTCGGCGTCGAACCAGCACTCACACTACTAGATTTTTCATCATATGCCCGACCAGGTGGATGTGAGACAGTGACAGCAACAAGGTCATAACCTCCCTTAGTTACTTCTGGTGGCCACTGAACATCAACTGTTTCTATAAAAGGTTCAAAGTTCACCATTGTCGAATACTTCGAACCACCTTCCCTGTCCGCCACCAGAAGTAAAGGGTGAACCATATAAATAGCCTTCATGAATGCATACACAAACCTAAGCTCATCAAGAGTCGTATTTCTAAACTGAAGATCACCAGCAACCGTGCACCGAGCAACATCAATAACAGGAAATCGATCACTCCCCGACGCTTCAAGCAACAATGACTTAATCAGTTTGCGGTTCAAAGGAAACATCAAAGACTCCACCTCATAAGTAACCCTCAGAACCTCAGCATTCGGAACACGGACAGTCTCTCTAACCCCAGTCATTTTCTTAGCATCATTCTCTGATCTATACATATAGAAACCAACATCTCCTCCATCACCTCCAATGAACTGAACACACGAAAACGGCTGTTTCTTAGCATTCCAATCTGAGTCCCTTCCAACCCGAACCCCAAAATAGTGAACCGGACGCAACCTTTTCCACGGCTCAGTTCTATACAAAGCCGCAGAAGCTTTGTATATAGATCTGATGAAATTAGGAGCAATGCCATCCACTTTCATCAAACATGTCCCAGATCCAGGACCAAGTCCAGGTCCACACCCAAACTGTTCCTGATATCTATCAAACAAACCCTTCAGATGCAAATCCATTCTATCCCCAATTAACAAATTTCTAATCTCAGTAACTAATCTATGATCATACACTTAAAATTACAGAGGAACTGATCTCAGTATCACCAAATCTAATAATCCAAAACCCTATTTCATTTCAACAAACCAAATCAACATCATATTCACAATCCATAACTAATCAAAGCAAAAGCATCAAGATCAATGCACATTCAATCTTGCAAGAAACAAAACCAAGAAGGAAAACATAACCACTTATTTCAAAATCATGAAAACAAATGAAAAAGAAAAAAATCAGATTTTTATGTGATTCATTATTGTTTCAGCTCTTGGAAAAATTCTGAATTTCTTGTTTTGAGAAAAAGAATGAATCGGAGTTGACTGTGATATAGGCTACGGCCGTTCTCATGTTAGATTCAGTGAGCTTGGAAATTCTATCACGAAATCAGTGCCATTGAAATAATCAATGGTCAAAATAAGATCTTTTAAATGTCAACGGTTATTATACGATCTACGTGGAATCAACGGTTATTATACAGTCTCCGTGGAATCAATGATTCTTCGTAAAGGCAAAGCAAGAGCTTTTAAACCAACCAATCAGAGTCTTCCAGCGAACCATAAAGAGATAAAATCATAAAATAAATTTTTATTATTAATAAAATTAATTAAATAAATTATTATTTATGATAATTTACCTGCGGAAAATATCATCCATTGCATCAGTATCATTATTTTAGGGTTAGGGTTTGTGAATTGTTTAAATAGAGAACAAGACACGAAATTTTCTCTCTTCGCTCACTTGCTTCCCCTTTCTCTCTCTAGAATTTCAGATTCGGTGAGAAAGATGATGCAGCCTGGACATGGTATGGCTCCTCCAAGCTTGGGACAGCAGCCACCGCAGCAGTACCAGCAGCCGCCACCGCAGCAACCTTACGTCATGATGCAACCTCAAGCGCCGCAAGCCTTGTGGGCCCAATCCGCCCAGCCTGCTCAGCAGCCAGCTAGCGCCGACGAGGTCCGTACTCTCTGGATCGGAGATTTACAGTACTGGATGGACGAAAACTACCTTTACACCTGCTTCGGTAATACCGGCGAGGTAATATCTCTTTCTTGGTGTGTCCCTTATTTTGTATAATTCGGGTTTTTTTTGTGTTAATTTGAATTACGAGTCGATGATTTTATGGATTGATTATTGGTGTAAGTGTAGGAATCAGGGTTGTTTTATTGTGTAACTGAAATTAGGGTTTTGTAATTTTGGTTTGTAGGTGACATCTGTGAAAGTAATTAGGAATAAGCAAACTAGTCAATCGGAAGGTTATGGTTTTATCGAGTTTAATACCCGTGCTAATGCTGAGAGAGTGCTTCAGACATACAACGGAGCCATTATGCCGAACGGTGGCCAGAGCTTTAGATTGAATTGGGCTACTTTCAGTGCTGGGGAGAGGTCGTCTAGGCAGGATGAAGGTCCTGATTATACCATTTTTGTCGGCGATTTGGCTGCGGATGTTAGTGATTACCTTCTTCAGGAGACTTTTAGGGCTCGTTTTAACTCTGTCAAGGGGGCGAAAGTTGTGATTGATAGACTTACTGGCAGGTCTAAGGGTTATGGTTTTGTGAGATTTGCTGATGAGGGTGAACAGATGAGGGCTATGACTGAGATGCAAGGGGTTCTTTGTTCGACAAGACCCATGAGGATTGGACCAGCCACTAATAAGAACCCGGCTGCCACCACTCAACCCAAAGGTTTGTCTCTTACATATGCATGCAAATGTTTGTTCTGTTGCATTATGGAAGATTGAGCCTTCTTTGTTGTCTTGCTAATTTATTTGATTTCGATCAACTGTATTAGGGCTGTGTCACTAATTATATGTTCTAGTGAATACTGAATGATGCTGTTTAAGTTATGTTCTTTTCAGTTATGCTCTTGAAGAATTAACATCCACAGTCCTTTCTTCCTGCAATTTTCCTTTTCGAAATTTGGGCTAAATAAATAAATGATTGTATTTGTAGTAATAAAAACTTATAGAACTCCTGTTGTCTCAAAGCAGGGTGTCAGGAGGCTCTGTCATCTCTGAGCCTGGAACTGATTTCAGCTGAAATGGTTACCATTTTAGTGCATGTCGTTGCTTAGGTCAGTTATGCGTTTATGTTTGCCCATTATTTTTTTGTGGCATTTTCTTTTCCGCCTACATTTTCAAGTTCTTTCCATTTCGCTTTTGGCTTAGTTTTAACTCAATTTAAGTTTGCAATTTCTCTGCTTACTTACTTTTCAGTCCACCTTTCTTAGTTTCAGATCCTTTAATTTACTCATATTAGTTTTTCATAAGAACTACAAGCTACAGCTTTTATTTCTTTTGTAGCTTTTCCTTAGGCCAAAGTAATCTTATTTACATTTAAATATATCTTCTGTTCTTCTATCATATGCTTATTTATTTCAGTTTCCATTCACTTAACAACAATTTATTGGTTGGTTAAGCTTTACACTGTGGTATAGTATTTTCATGAAGATTAGGTCTCTGTTCCCTTTCTGCGTTTCCTTTTCTATGCCTAATGCCATGCAGTTTGAATTATAGATACCACTGGTCTTAAATTAATCTGAAAGCAGAATAATTGGTGTATTCCACTAAGGTGTTTGTGAGCAAGTGATTAAATTATTTTCTGTGCATAGTCTTTGTTATAGTATAATTATAGAGGTTTTTGCCCCTGAAATTACTAGCCTGTGATTGGCTGCACCCGTGCATCACTTTGTCAGATTTTAACTGTGACTTATTTGGTGTTATGCATTTGTGGGTAATTAATACCAGTCTTCTGTATGCTGTCTGTCTTGATCGCATCCCAGGTGTCCTTACAGTGCAAACTTGATGACTTGCTGGCAACTATTTCCATTGAATTATATTAATGTTTCGCAAACTGATAACTTATTTAATTTCTTTTGGTGAAACTTATTGATTTTAGCTTTTGTATGATGGTTTCTGGTACATGGAATTGTAAGCTACTGCCCATTCTGTTGCTTCTTAGACTGCTGACTAAATATTTGTTTATGTGAATTGTGCCAACAGAGAGACTTCTAGTATTATATTAAGTTATTAAAATAATAGTTGTGCCTTTGGTTATTATATCAGAGTTAGTTGGTTTATATTCTCTTGTCCTTTATGGCGTATGAATTAGTTTGAAATTCATTTAATTAATCATTTTACTTGACTCTCATTTGGAATGCAGCCTCTTATCAGAACCCTCTAGGAGGACAAAGTGAGAATGATCCTAACAATACAACTGTGCGTACATCTTTTCAATATGTTGAAAATGCTTTATTTGCTACTAGTTAGCACATCTTTTCAATATGTTGAAGCTGCATTATTTGCTTCTAGTTAGTGATTTATCTTTTCATTGCAGATTTTTGTTGGCAATCTGGATCCTAATGTCACTGATGATCATCTGAGGCAAGTTTTCAGCCAATATGGTGAACTAGTTCATGTGAAGATTCCATCTGGCAAGCGATGTGGGTTTGTCCAATTTTCTGACAGGTAATATGACTTGCATATTCGTTATTATTTGGAATATGTACAAAATCATTTTCTATCTCATTGTGCCATAATTTACATTGCATCAGGAGCTGTGCAGAAGAAGCGATACGAGTTTTAAACGGAACTCTATTGGGTGGACAAAATGTTCGCCTTTCATGGGGTCGTACTCCCTCAAACAAACAGGTAATTGTATTTACCGAGCCTTGTAATTCTGGGTTTATTTGGAATTTAAGTCTTTTTCTTTTTCTTTTCATTGACTGTGTGCTTTTTTGTTCTCAGACTCCGCAAGATCCAAACCAGTGGAGTGCTGCTGCGGGTGGTGGATATTATGGTTATCCTCAGGGTGGTTATGAAAATTATGGTTATGCTGCTGCTCCTGCTGGACAAGATCCCAACGTGTATGGAAGTTATCCGGGTTATGCTGGTTACCAACATCCCCAGCAGCAACAACAACAAATGGGATATAGCTAAGATCTCACTGCTATATATATTTCCATTGTGACTGTACTGTTCTGATGGAGTTGCTTTTCCCCTTGTGGAATATCGGATTCTTAAGGACCTTCCCTCTTCTTCCTCCCTTGATTGCTAGAAACATTTAAAATTTTCAAAAGCGGCTCTTGTATCCCTTTAAATTTGCTTGCTGATTTATTTTTGGTGTTTAGATTTGATTACATTGGCTATCTGTTGTCTTTTAAGTTACATCATGTTTGCTGATCATTTCTCTTTTTGGGACGGCCATTGTTTCTTGTTGTCATGTTTCTTCAAAAATAAAAGATTAGATGTTGAATGGATTTTTACCATATTCATGAGTAATTATCAAACACAGTACTTTTAAAATTTGGGTAATGCTAACTTGTGTCCAAGGACACAAGTTAAGAATTAAATTGTGTCCAAGGACACAAGTTAAGAATTAAATTAAGAAATATTGTCTGCACAAGTTTTAATTAAAAATAAGATTAATTTTTAACTTGTTTTTTTCAATACAAATTTATTATAAGTGGATATTTTAACTTGTGTCTCAAGGGTATAAATTAATATTATTAAAATTTTCCCAATTTTGAGGAATCAATAATGTGGTTGAGTTTTAAAATCTGGACATCTCCTTTCAGCAACAAATCCCTTCTTAATTCTTGTATGCATGTGTTTTTCTTCTCAGTTGTTGGTATCACTTGGATTTATACGTTTCAAGAACTTATCATGGCATGATTTCAAATTATAGAATTCAAACTTTCTTGAGATATGCACCCAATTTTATAATTTTAACCATCATAAAATGCATGTCAATATTAAGTTTTAAGATGTTAAATTTGATGATTATTTGGTAAGGTGATGATAGAGGTTGTGGGTTCAATTTTTGCCGATGTTGAGATTTCGGGATTTCTTTGGAGGGTGATCAGTAAATACCTTTATAAGTGCCCCTTGAGTCTTAGGTCTATTCGGATCCTGGTGAACCATGGAGTTTAACTTCTAAACTTTTTCATTTAAAAAATAAATAAATAATTGATATCAGTTAATATTTTGTTAATTTTTAGGAATGAACTTGAAGAATATGCTTAGAACCAGCTCAAAGGAAAACAAAGACTCAACTATTAATTTTGTTAGGCAGATGCCTGTATGTAAGATATGTGCCGATATAGTTGAAGCACGCGAGTCACAACTTAAGTTTAGGAGGATTATACTTGACTTTGTATATTTAAAAAAAATTAATATTGATCAATTCATAATTTACTTCTCCAAAATTTAACACATTTTTTTGATTTGATAATTATTGTTAAATATTTGACAGAAATTACAGCAGAAAAATATTGGTCAATTCATAATTTACTTCTTCATGCATGCTTCCAGTGTTCAACCTATCTCTTCTTTTGAAAATTTTATTCATCGTCCTTTGATATGTTGCTATTGTATTTTTTAAACAAAAATGCATCACGTTATACTAGTAGTTGGCTTGCTCGGCCATAAAAGGAGATTTATCTCTGTCCGGCTCGTACATTAGTATTTGATTATAGTTGGATTATGCGTTCATACATGACAAAAGTTTGTATACGACCAAGTTGCAGACCAACTTACATATACTTAGAAGCGGGTATGCGTCTTTGCGATATGCTTTATTCAGGTAGGTATAATTGATACACATTATCCATTTTTCTAATACTTTTTTGACCAGCACCACATTGGATAACCACTCAGTATATTTCACTTCACAAATAAAATTAGCGTCTAATAAGTCTTAGATTATCTTCCATGTCGACTGGATTTCTCGAGAGAATGCCACATTCTCCTTTTGGACACATACTGGGTGTCACAATCATTATTTAGGCGGGGATATGCTACACTAGGATCTAATCCAGGCATCTCGTGGGGAGAGATGGTGAAGAGATTAACGTTGACTCTCAAACATTTAATGAACCCTTCTTTTACTTTAACAAGTAGGTTGTTGAGTGCTAAATTATTGTTATTTTGAGTATGAATAATTAGCACTCAATGGCTTCATTCGTTTGTTTTCGTTCAATAACTCCAAATTTTTTTGTAGATTTTGTATAATTTACATACCGTTGTATATATATATTACATTATCCTGTAAATATCTTTTCATTTTAATTGTTTTAATCGCTTTTTGTAGATTTTCATGCATAATTGAAGTATTGGAATAAAAGGAAAAAGCATGTTATTTAGTCATCGTAATATAGAGTGTTGAATAGGCTTTTCAAAGCTTCTGACTGTGCGTCAATCGAAATTATGGTTCACAAGTTATGGCGAAAACAAAATCTAATTTTTCTCTGTTTTTTGAGCGCGCTTAGCCATGTTTGTGATTAGCCCACTCTGCACGCGTTTAACCCGGTTTGTGCTTATCCTATATTTTTGGGCTTAGCCCGGGTCCACTTTTCCAACCCCTATAAATACCATTCATTCAGATTTTTAGGGCATGATTTTGGGAATATTTTGCTCCCAACTCTATCACCAACATTCTTTGTGGAAATAAGCCCATAAACAACAATAGAAGCTGCATCTTGATGATCCAGAGCTATATTTGTGATAGTTGTCTTGACACCTTGAGAATCATCAGTTTAGTTTCGCTCTTTTCGTTGTATTTTCTATTTGTTGGGATGTTGTATATAAGTTTATCTTAACTGTATGTATATTTATTGATCGTTGTATAAAATCTCTTTTACAAATCTTTATCGATGTTATCTTTGATTTCAATATTTATCTTAATGGGTTTGGATTTTTATAGACATATACGGTTCGAACTCGATCTATGATGAACATCTGTTAGATTCTAAACTCTAGACATAGATTTAGGTCGAACATTCACTTGGGTATCAATTCTTAATACTCCGTGTTGTTAATTTGCGTGAGATATCATCGGTGGGACAATACAATTGTTCTCTCAACTTTGTGTTAGACATAACCTCTATTGTGGGTGATACGTGAGGATATTGATAAGTGATTTAGGTTGCATACAACTGATTATAGATTTTTTAGTACTTGATGGGTAAAATGAAATACAATTCCTAATGAATTATTTCCCGTACTTTATTTACTTGTTAATATCTTTTAGTTTCCGCTTTTTACTCTTTTAAAACCATTCAAAACCAAGCTTAAAAATGTTGAGATTATTGAACGACATTTGATCCCTTGCACTGATCCCTGTGGAGACGATAAATCTTGAAAATTTTCCAACCTTAATTTTTGCTTGCCGCTATACCGCAACAACATAGGTCGACTCCTATCCTTACCGAACTCATCAGATTATAAACCAGTTAGACGACTTCGAATTCCCCATCTAGGACAACTTTGAAGTCCCCATCTAGCACCATCCTTAGGAATTTTTTCTCAATCTCGGTCAAGAGGCCTAGCTCATATCCCTATTGGGGTTCCTCTTTGCTAACATCGAGTTCAACTACATATAATGCTCCATCACTTTCCCATACCTTTCCTTCCAAAATGACAATTTATGTCAAGATATTCTTCAATATTACAATAGCAACATATCAAAGAATGATGAATAAAGTTTTCAAAAAAGAGATAAGCAGAACACTGGAAGCATACATTATACAGGTAGTTAACTTGCCCGACCATGAAAGAAGATTTCTCTCTGTCCGGCTCGTACATTGGTATTTGATTGTAATCGAAATATGCGTCCATACATGATAGAAGCTTGTACACGACCAAGTTGCCGACCAACTTACATATACTTGGAAGCAGGCATGAGTCTTTGGGATATGCTTTATTCAGCTAGGTATAATCGACACGCATTATCCATTTTCCTAATACATTTTTGACTAGCACCACATTGGATAACCACTCAGTGTATTTCACTTCACAAATGAAATTAGCGTTTAATAAGCCATAGATTATCTTTCCTATTGATTGGATTTCTCGAGAGAATGTCACATTCTCCTTTTGGACACATACTGGGTGCCACAATCATTATTTAGGCGGGGACATGCTATACTAGGATCTAATCCAGGCATCTCATAGGGAGAGATGGTGAAGAGATTAACGTTGACTCTCAAACATTTAATGAACCCTTCTTTTACTTCAACGAGTAGCTTATTTAGTGCTAAATTATTGTTATTTTGAGTGTGAATAATTAGCACTCAACGACTTTATTCATTTGTTTTCCTTCAATAACCCCCAATTTTTGTGTATATTTTGTATAGTTTACATACCGTTGTATATATCACGTTGTCGTGTAAATATCATTTTGTTTTGATTGTTTTAATCTCTTTGTGTAGGTTTTCATGCATAATTGAAGTATTGAAATCAAAGGTAAAATCATGTTATTTGGTCATTGTAGTATAAAGCATTGAATAATATTTCCAAAGCTTCTGACCGTGCGTCAATCAGAGCTATGGTTCGCAAGTCATGGAAAAAACAAATTATGATTTTTCTCTGTTTTTCTGAGTGCACTTAGCCTGGTTTATGCTTAGCCCATTCTGCACGCGCTTAGCTCGGTTTGTACTTAGCTCATATTTTTGGGCTTAGCTCGAGTCTACTTTTTAAACCCCTATAAATACCATTCATTCAGATTTTTAGGGCATGGTTTTTGGGATTGTTTGCTCCCAACTCCATCACCAACATTCTTTGTGGAAATAAGCCCAAAAATAACAATAGAAGCTGCATCTTGATGATCTGGAGCTGGATTTGTGATAATTGTCTTAACACCTTGAGAATCACTGGTTTAGTTTCTCCCTTTTCGTTGTATTTTTTATTTATTGGGGTGTTTTATGTAAGTTTATCTTGATTGTATGTATATTTATTGATCGTTGTATAAAATTTATTTTATAAATATTTGTCGATGTTATCTTTGATTTCAATATTTATCTTAATGGGTTTGGATTTCTATAGACATATACGGTCCAAACTCAATATAAGATGAACATCTGTTAGATTCTAAACTCTAGACATAGATTTAGGTCTAATATCCACTTGGGTATCGATTCTTAATGCTCTGTGTTGTTGAG